AAAAAAAAAAAAAAAAAAAAAAAAAAAAAAAAAGACCCCTGAGGTCTCCACGCCACGCCGCCCATCCCACAGGATCCTGCTGAACTCAGAGCGGCTCAAGTCCCGCATTGCCGAGATCCACGAGAGCCGCACGAAGCTGGAGCAGCAGCTGCGGGCCCAGGCCTCGGACATCCGCGAAATCGACAAGCGCATGAACAGCCTCAAGCCGGACCTCATGCAGCTGCGCAAGATCCGAGACCAGTACCTCGTGTGAGTGGCAGCTCCCCGCCACTGCAGCGGCACCTGGAGGTCTCTGCAGGGCCTCAGTCTCTCCCTCTCCACCAAGTGGCCCTTCCTGGGCCCCGAGGCCCTTCCTCTGTCCACAAGCCCTCTTGCTCTGAACCAGGCCCAAAACGCGGTTCCTCCCGGGCCCCTCCAAGGGTTTCCCGTAGGTCAGCCTCAGCTTAGTCAGACATGGGTGCAGTGGGAGTGTCACTCCCGTCCCATTCCATTTTGTGGAAAGTTGGGAGCCTTCCACAAAATTTCCTTCTGGATCAGACGCGGTGGCTCACACCTGTAATCCCAACACTTTGGGAGGCCACGGCGGGCGGATGGATCACTTGAGACCATGAGTTCGAAACCAGCCTGGCCAAAACATGGTGAAACCTCGTCTCTACTTTAAAAAAAAAATTACAAAACTAGCCACGCGTGATGGTGGGCGCCTCTCATCCCAGTTAGTCGGGAGGCTGAGGCAGGAGAATCACTTGAACCCGGGAGGCGGAGGTAGCAGTGAGCCGAGATTGCACCACTGCACTCTAGCCTGGGCCACAGAGTGAGACTCTGTCTCAAAAATAAAAAATAAATAAATAAGCCTGCTATGCAACCTCCCATTGCTTCGTGGCTGCAGCAGCCCCGTCCTGGGTTCAAATCCTGCCTCCACCCACCAACCTCCTAAGAAGCTCAGCCAGAGCCTCTGCCTCCCTCCTGGGCTTCAGGAAGGGTGTTGTCACATGCCAGGTGCCATGCTAGGCACCGTGCTCATGCGCTCATTTAGTCCTTCCCAAGCCCTTTGTAAACTTTGCCCTTCGCAGCCGGGGAGACTGAGGCATGGAACCGACAGCTGCCCGGTGCAAAGGCCAGCGGTGCTGGAGTGTCACTGGTGATGATGAGGTGCTTGGGCTGGCACCTTTTGGGGCGCTCCACAAGCGTTAACAGAGAGAAAAATGGTGGGGGGTATGGGGCAGGGTTCCCCCCGAGCTGGGGAGCCACCCTGGGTTCAGGCTGCCCTCTTGTGGCAACCGGGGATGTTGTACCCAGAACCTGCTCTCCTCAGCCAGCTCCTGCCTCCCACTGGGCAGGCCCACTGTGGACTCAGTGCGCACAAAACACCTTTCTTGTTCCTTCCCAGGTGGCTCACCCAGAAGGGTGCCCGGCAGAAGAAAATCAATGAGTGGCTGGGGATCAAAAATGAGACTGAGGAGTGAGTGACCACCTGGAGGGAGGCAGGGAGGGCTTCCCAGAGGAGGGGGTCATTTGGGGTGGGTTTTGAAGAATGAGTAGGAGTTTGCCGGGGAGGAAGAGTTGTCCGGGCAGCTGGGGAGCCTCGGAGGCTGGCAAGTGAGTGACCAGGGCTCCCCCTGCCGCCCCCACCACAGCCAGTATGCACTGATGGAGGATGAGGATGATCTTCCCCACCACGAGGAGCGCACTTGGTACGTGGGCAAGATCAACCGCACGCAGGCGGAGGAGATGCTGAGTGGCAAGCGGGACGGCACGTTCCTCATCCGCGAGAGCAGCCAGCGGGGCTGCTACGCCTGCTCCGTGGTGTGAGTGGACCGCAGCGCTGGGGGTCCCCGCGTCCCTCCCGGTGCTCTCACTGAATGCGTGCTGCGTGCCAGGCACGGAGGAAGGAGTCCCCGGTGGGGTCATTGGGGCCAGGGGAGCAGGCGTCCCGGGAGTCAGGAGAGCCTGTCGGGGAGGGAGGCCGGCCTCGTGACCCGCCCTCTCGTCCGCCCTCACAGGGTAGACGGCGACACCAAGCACTGCGTCATCTACCGCACGGCCACCGGCTTCGGCTTCGCGGAGCCCTACAACCTGTACGGGTCGCTGAAGGAGCTGGTGCTGCACTACCAGCACGCCTCGCTCGTGCAGCACAACGACGCGCTCACGGTCACCCTGGCGCACCCGGTGCGCGCCCCGGGCCCCGGCCCGCCGCCTGCCGCCCGCTGAGCGCCGAGGACCCGCCCCCGGCAGAGCCGCCCCCTGGTCCCGTCTGCACCGAGGCTGCGGCGGGGAGCCACGGAACGGACCAGCCACAGCCAGGGGTCCTCACTTCTCCGGCTCTGGCTCTCGTTTGGGGTCCTCTCACCCTCTTTCTCTTTCCTTTTCTCTCTCCCTCCCGCCCCCATTCTCCAGATCTCCCTCTGTCTCCTCTCTCTCTCTCTCTGTCTCTCTCTTTCTCTCTCTGTCTTTCGTAGCCTCTGTCTCTCTGTCTCCATGTTGGGGGTCCTGCCTCCCCCACCCCGTATCTCCTTATCCCCCCCCCCCGGGCATTGCCCTCTCCATGGCTCTGGTCACCCTGACCCTCTGCCCTGCCCACCGCAGGTTCCCTGGGGTCCCGGAAGCCCTTTCTGGCTGTACCTGCCATGTTTACAGAGGGCCCCTGGGCTGCGCGGCCCCAGCCTGGGCACCCCGATTTTTAAGCCATAGACCTGGGGTCAGGGCAGGAAGGAACTTGACTCCGCTGCTTCCGAGAACCTCGGCCATGACATTCGGGGCCGGGCGGGACCCGCCCCACAGACTCCAACTTCCCCTCCAAACCCTGAAGTGAAACCCGCCACCGGGATATCCCCACCATGGGGCCGCTGCGAGTTCCCCAACCCCCGAAAAATAATTTAAAATAAACTCTTAGGCAGGGCGCCGTGGCTCACGCCTGTAATCCCAACACTTTGGGAGGCCAAGGCAGGCAGACCTCTTGAGGTCAGGAGTTGGAGACCAGCCTGGCCAACATGGCAAAACCCCGTCTCTACTAAGATACAAAAAGGAGCCGTGAGTGGTGGCGCGTGCCTGTAATCCCAGCTACTCCAGAGGCTGGGGCGCGCGCCAGAATCACTCGAACCCGGGAGATGGAGGTTACAGTGAGCCGAGATTGCGCCACTGCACTCTAGCCCGGACGACAGAGTACCCCTCCTCCATCTCAAAAAATAAACTTGTGAGCCGGCCCCAACCCCCCTCATCCCCCAGGAATCGTAGCTCCCCGTGCTGGTGCCGCTGCAGGGGCCGAGTTGCGCCACTGCCCGCGGCCGCGCCGTCGCAGATTCAGGGCTTCTCTTCCGTCACGCTGGGTTTTGATTCTATTTTTCCTTGACTGCAAAACCCTCTTTTCTCTCTTTTGGGACGAGAGCCCTGGTTTTCTACGCCGCCCTTGGCTGCCACTCTGCCTGCCCGGCGAGCTGGGAGGCAGGTTTTGTACGGTACGTTGTTATTGATATGATATAAAACATCAAACGTCGTGGATGATTCTCGTGTCAGTGACTGGGCTTCACTGCCACCTCTGCGTGCGGGGGACCCTGGCATTTACGGGATTCATTAATGCCAAGCCACCTCTGAGGCCCGGCAACCCCCTCCCTCCTCCAGTTCAGCTGCTCAAGCCCAGAGAAGTTAAGGCACTGCTCAAGGTGACAGGAGAGAGTTTGGGACCCCAGACCCCATCCAGCCCCTCAAATGCTTCCAAGCTGCCTCCCCCGCCCCCAACTCCAAATATGAATCCTGTGGCAGCCATCAGCTATGTCCTTGGGAAAGTCATACCCCCTCCCTGACCTACAGCTTCCTCATTCATTCCCAAGTGACGTCAAAAGTCACAACCTTCCCATGCCACGTGGATGGGTCTCCCATGTCTTGAGATCCTCAAATCATCAGCACCTCCGTCCAGCATTTGAGGTTCTCGTCTGACCTCTCCTGCCCCCATGTTCAGCCCGCCAGGTCCCAGGGGATGCTGAGCAGAGGCCCTGTGAGGGGGTTTTTTGTTTCTTTTTAAAGAGTCATGGTCTCGCTCTGTCACCCAGGCTGGAGCGCAGTGGTGTGATCACAGCTCATGGCTCACAGCCTCAAACTGCTGGTTTCCAGGCTCAAGCAATCCTTCCATCTCAGCCTCCTGAGTCACTGGATTACGGGTGCGAGTCACCATGTCCAGCTAATTGTTTTAAAATGTTTTTAGAAACAAGATCTTGCCGAGTGCAGTGGCTCACACCTGTCATTCCAGCACTTAGGGAAAAGCCAAGGCAGGCAGATGAGTTGAGGTCGGGAGTTTGAGACCAGCCTGGCCAACATGGCAAAACCTGGTTTCTACAAAAAAAACAAAAAAAAAAAAAAAAAAATTAGCCAGGCCTCGTGGCCTGTGCCTGTAATCGGGGAGGCTGAGACAGAATTGCTTGAACCTGGGAGGTGGATGCTGCAGTGAACCAAGATTGTGCCACTGCACCTCAGCCTGGGTGACAGACTCGTCTCGGGAAAAAAACAAAGGTCTTTCCCATTTCCAGATGGGTCTCGAACTCCTGGTCTCCAGCAATCCTCCCGCCTCAGCCTCCCCGAATTGTGTGAGCCACCACGAGTAGCCTCATAGCATCTTTAACCTGACTCCTGTTTACCACCCTCCCCATCACACCCAGGATGCCATATCCTTGTCCCTTCAGCCCTCCCCGCCCCTGGGGCCTCCCTGTCCTTGTCTGTTCCTGTCCAGCCGCCTCTTAGGACCCAAGAAGGCTGAGCCTGGGGCAAGCGCATGAACAAACCTCCCTTCTGACCCAGTCTACTGCTGGGACCTTGGGATGGGAGCTGCTTCCCTTACCTCAGGGCTCCCTAGCCTTGCCAGGCACTGTCCCTGCCATGTGTCCTGTCTGGAGATGCCCCATAAATTAGTCCAGCCTAGATAGTGCCTCTCACTGTGTATGTGATCACAGAAGAAAGATCGCCATCTTCGTGGCCCCAGCTATGCCGAGCTGGGGGTGGAAAAGAATATCCCGTGTGGCCTTTAAAACACTCAACCACTGGCTGTGTGTCCTTGTCAAAATAGCCTTCCCTCTCTGATCAGCCATTTCTTTGTTACCAACTGGAGTCCATAGCCCCTACCCTTAGCCCCAACTGGATGCTTCTGAGGGTCAATGATAAAATAGGTTGTGGGGACGGGTGTGGTGGCTCATGACTGTAATTCCAGCACTTTGGGAGGCCGAGGCAGGCGGATCACGAGGTCAGGAGTTCGAGACCAGCTTGGCCAGCATGGTGAAACCCCATAAAAATACAAAAAATTAGCTGAGCATGGTGGCACATGCTACTCGGGAGGCTGAGGCAGAAGAATTGCTTGAACCTAGGAGGCAGAGGTTGCAGTGAGCCAAGATCGTGCCACTGCACTCCAGCCTGGGTGGCAGAGCGAGACTCTGTCTCAAAATAAATTAAATGAGATAAAATGGGTTGTGGGCCCACTCTGTGCCTGGCACCAAGCCGGAGAGCAATATATTGTGAGGTTACATTTATGATTTATTCCGATAGGGCTGGTGTCCGGTAACTACTGGAAAAATTGTAGCAATTATATTTATTGTTATTGCTTCCATCCCACCTGGCATAGGGTAAGCATGAAAGTTGAGGCAGTGAGCGTTGGGGAGCCATTGAGAAGGAAAAGGGCTTTGCCAGGGGTTTGGTCATCTGAGGGATGGGCTGGGGGACCATCCAGCCACTGGGACTTCAGGGAAACTCTGGCTCCCAAATCAGCTGCTATGTGTGGGTCTTCTCCACAACTAGAGGGGGCACAGCTGGCGACTCACCTATATCTCCCCGCCAGGTTTGGGACATTTTCTTCTGTAGGATCTGGTGCGTCTTGCCCTGAATGAGGCCCTGCAGGGTCTGAATGTCTTAATTATTCCCCCAACACTCCTGCCTCCATCTGGGCCTTTTTTCTGGGGTACTGTCTCTGCCTTCACTGCCGGGGCCACTGTTCTATGCAGGCACCAATGCCTGATCATGCCACCAGGAAGCCCCAGCCTGGGACACCTCTCCCCCACCTGCCTCTGAGCCCTCCATGGTGATTCTGTCCCCCAAACATTATCCTTCTCCCCATTACACAGAAGGGAAAGCTGAGGCTCCATCACTCAAATCCAAAGCCATGCGGACTCCAAGCCACCCACCCCTACCCCAAACAGCACAGGCTGCCGCTCTCCCCCATGGCCAGGTTTCCCCCCACCGCCCACAAGCCTTGGACCCTGAAAAGAAGGAAGGCCAGTTCTCTTCACACCAAGCCAGAAGTTGGGCTTGCAGGGTGGGGGTGCTAGAGAAGTGATGTGCCACTCCCTGTGTCGGCTTCTGCTTTTCTGGCACAGCTGTGGCCAAGCCTGAGTCAGACCCACGGGACTGCAGTGGGGGCGTCTGGAGCATCAGGGTTGGGAAGTTCGAGGGGGAAGGGGCCAGGGGGTTGGGGGTGGGCGTGAGGGAGGTCAGGGGCCAGGCTGGAGGGACACAGGCCTTGCCCACACTCAGACAGGGGGGTGAACATTCACTTACTCCCCCAACAGCCCAGCCTCCACCCGACGCCACCCCAGTTAGAGCACAGGCTCCTCTGAGAGTGGGCCCTGGGCCTCAAGTCCCCTAGCCGCCCCCAGAAGGTCTAGGGGTGCGAGGAGCGGAGACACCCCATTTCTCTCGGCCTCTCTGTGTCTGTCTGGAAGGCCTCACCTCGCCTCTTCTAAATGTTCTCTTCCCTCAGGACTCACATGACTGGGCCGGGCTGACTGCCAAGGGGCCCAATGGCCTCGTGACTGGGGACCCAGCACCTGGCAGGGGTGGGGGTGAGACACCTGGAGGGAGGCGTGGAGGAGGGAGAGGCGCTGGCCCGGGACCGAGGGGAGGGGCGCCGGGAGGCGGTGTCGGGCTAGGGGCGGGGCCGCCGCGGGCTTAAAGCCGCTCCTTTCCCGGGCGCCCCCCCCCCACCCTCGCCCCCGCCGCGATGGCCCCGCCGCTCCTGCTGTTCCTGCCGCCGCTGCTGCTGCTGCTGGACGTCCCCGCGGCGGCGCAGGCGTCCCCTCTGCAGGCGCTACACGTCCTTGGGAACGGGCCCCCCGTCAACCACAAGGTAGGGACGGCGACAGGGCGGGCCGGCTGGAGGGGACAGGCGCCCCGGCGGGACAGCGGCTCCTCCTTTCTCCCCAGACTTCCCGGGGGAGACCAGGGCCCCAGGGCACGCGGACCCTGCCGGGGTCGCGGAAAACCCGCGTCCAGCCCCCGGCACGGCGGCCGTTTCGCTTTCTCATCCCGCATCTGAGACGCGCAGCTGCCCCCCCGCCACCCGCCTCGTCCCGCTTAGGATTTCATTGAGCGCCTACTGTGCACTTTTGGGGCAGGAGCTGGGGTCTCCTTTTGGGGCCCAGGGCACAGCCAGATGAGTTCAGCGGCCGGTCGAGGCCCCCGGCGTGCGCTCATGCCAGCCGGGGCAGGGCTCGCGTGCCTCCGGGCCGATCGGGCAGATTCCCTGGAGGCTGAGGGACTTGCTCAGGCCCCGCGACCCGGGCCGCCCGCCACCCCTCCGCTGACGCCGGAGGTTAGCACAGATTGGGTGCCGCCTCTATTCGGCGGGACTTGGAAAGGGTTCACATGGGTCCCTGGCTCCGCTCAAGGCCAAGGTCTTCGGGTAAAGTGGCAGGAAATGAGCATGGCCCCGGCGCGGTGGCTCCTGTGTAATCCCAGGACTTTGGGAGGGTGAGGCGGGTGGATCACTTGAGGTCAAGAGTTCGAGCCTGGCCAGCCTGGCCAACATGGTGAAACCCCATCTCTACTAAAAATACAAAAATTAGCCGCGTGTGGTGGTGGCTATCTGTAATCCCAGCTACTTGGGAAACTGAGGCAGGAGAGTCGCTTGAATTTAAGAGGTGGAAATTGCAGTGAGCT